CCGCTGGCACACAATATTCAAATATCAATAGCCATTTGTTGGATGAGTAATCAGGTATGTTTGGGGAGCCTCCTGTGTTTAAAAAAACAAAAATTCTGAAGCCCTTTGAAGACTCGTTTTTCTTAGGTCAATTGAAAAATTTCACCTCTACTAATATTTACAACTGCTTCCATTTAAAGTGGTAAGATTTAAGCAGTTTGAAGTGTTCACCTTTTGGGAGGTACCTGAGAAAATTGTCATATAATTAGACTGTTTTCCTGGAGTAGAGAATGTCTGAAAGTTTTATGGAGGGAAAAGCAGGCTCTCCCATGTGTCTCTAACACATAGCAATATTTGCAAAGGCTTTACTTACTCACGATGATGTAGACAAGGAAAGGGAAAAAAAGTTGTATAATGTTAACTCAGAAGAAAAAATATTTTTTAAAGGATTAATTGAAGATGTCAGATCTTTTCTTTTGAGGATAAATTTTTTCTAACTAGAACAGGAGACAGTTAACTTCTGAAAAGCATCAAGACTGATGATTTTGTCTATATAGCATTGACCTGGAAGCTCAGCCACTCAGACTAATAAATCAGGCAATTTATATTTAATCATTAACTAACTCCTGAGCTGAACAGCTGTTCAAAATTAGAAATGGGTCACCCCAGCCAGGATGACATTACAGGCAATCTATAATGCATTAGAATAAAATTATAGTGATTTTTAACTGTCTAGAAATTTATTACAGGACATGTTCCAACTCTTAAACCCTTGTTAGCCAGTGTCAGTAATGATTTATGTTGCATGGGTGGTGTAGTGAAATTATTGACGATTTCAATAGCCAATAAGTCTATGTTTAGTAAATCTTCAAATTTCAAAGCTGTTTTGGAAAATGAGGTGGGTGCACTTTATTGTTTATCATCTACAAACCAAAAACAACAAAGACGGAGGGCAGGCAAGTGAGAGATTCTTCTTGAAAATTAATGGATATATTTTCTGTGGCTAAGGAAGGAAAGTAATAAATTCTATAAAGAGGGCTGGAGAGCTGAAGTTCCTTAGTGTTTAATTATATAGCTAACTTGGGTGATCTTTATCAAGCGAAGCAAGGAAATGATCTTAAAACAGCCTTGATAACCATTTTCACACACACATTTCATGACCTCAGTGTCATGGGTGTTATGATGGCTCACAGGGAACCAATATTCCAATCTATTCTGACATACATCATTTTTGTTTTCTGTGGACTTTTTTCTTTCATGAGGAAAGAAAAATTCCACAGGGTTCTTCCTTGTTGTGCTATCAAATAATAGTAATAAATGATAATTAATTTCAGATCCTATTAATTTGTATGTTCTTAGAATGTTGTATTAATTTTTAGCATGCATTGAAACGACGTAAATTATTGAACTGCAGTTCAGTCAATCCATACATATTTACTTCAGTTTTATTCAAATCCAATATTAAGGGAGCCACGTACTTAACCTGTAAATCAGATTTTAAATGGCCATTCAACTAGATATAGGGATTTCAACACCATTCTTTGAGAGTACTGTCTTCAAGGCTAATGAAGTCCTGATTTCCATCTTTTTACTTAGGTCATAGCTTCCTCCACTGGTATAATGATCATATTAGAAAAATAACCTGAATTTAGTAGCTACTAGGACTGTTTAATTAATAGAATCTAGGCTAGACGGCTATTTAAGTTTTACGTTTTAATTAACATGAGTGGTGTTTGTTGTTTTCATTTGTAATCGGCTCATGGCCAGCATGTTAAAAATAAATTAATAGATAAAAAGTTTGCCTAGGGCAGTATAGTGAAAAGTGGGAAGGATGGAGAACAGCCAGGCAGTCATGAAGAATCCTAATATCACTCATGCATAGCCACAGTTCTCAGTCCTCTACCCCCCGAGGGACAGGGGAGAGACTGTCAACCTTTCAAGAAGGACCTCAATCATAATTAAAGAGTGAAGACATGCAACAAGAAGATGTTAAAGAATCAATGTCACATTGTAGTAAACACCACTGAAGAGAGGATGAAGACTCCTTTATCATACTGGATTTCAAATACTTGAAAGATTGTAATAGTCATGCCAACCAGTTGCATTCTGTTCCTTCTAGAGACTGTGCAGAAGGACATAGACTTAAACTATGCTGTAAGGTAATTGCACTAAGTGTTGGTTGAGTTGATGCTCACCCTGCAATTACATCTGGGTAATTTGATCTTTCAGTCAGAGAAGATCCGCTGGGGTCAGTCTGTTAAGTCCTTTGAAGCCCAAGAGAAGACGCTTTGTGGAGATGTTCTCCTTACAGCAGCGTTTGTGTCTTATGTCGGATCCTTCACAAAACAGTATCGCCAGGAACTGGTGGACTGCAAGTGGGTTCCTTTTCTTCAGCAGAAGGTGAGTTCAGTTCCTGACCTTGTCAACACATGGAAGCATCATATTGAAACTTCAGCAATGAAAATCATACAGGTGCTGGGCACTTCCATACCTCAGTCATGATAACTGACTGGAAATTCTGCTGTGAAGGTGATGTTTCTTGTGTGTTGCAGAGTTTTGCTTATTTTAATGATGGTTTCAACAGGAAGATGAAAGTTAAGTTTGTAAACTACAGAGTTGTGGTTGGAAAGTACTTTTAACAAAGCTTATAACTGAAATCAAATTTGGATTATTATGTTATTGAACAGCATGAAAGTTTTTTTCTTACTAATATCATGGATTATTTGTTAAAGGTTTTAAGACTGCTTTCAGATTAAAAGTGTAGCATTTTGTATGTAAGTATAAAAATAGCTTAGCCTGAATTTGAAAATTCAAATCCATAAGCAAAGTGAAATCATAGCTTTGGAAGATTTGAAATCATCTACTTTAAGATCCTCCTTGTAAAC